GTATATATATATATATATATATATATTGAGAAAGAAAGAGATTACAGTAGGTTAGTCAGTAGCGCTAGAACTGTACAACCAGGTTATCACCCCACTGGCCCAGAAGTCACCGGCCCACTGGGATTTTGCTCGATGTTCCGGTGGCCCAATCCACCCATGAGCAGGATCTATTAGAGGTTGAGTTGGTATGCTGTTATGGTTTTTCTTAGCCACCTTTCAACCTCTTGACCCACAAATGGTTCAAGATTGAGGACGTAGCTCTCAACATGGCTGGCAAGAGCTTTTGATTGAGGAGAACACCTCTCCTTGTTCTTGCTGCATTCTCAGACTAAACTATCACCGCAACTACAGCTTCCTCCTTTCTATCGAAAACTCTACATGGCCTTAGGAAATAACTTTTAATTATCATAGTTTTTGAAAATTAATGACAAGCTGAGTTTCAAAACATTGAATAAAGAAGCATGTTCAAAAAAGAAAAAAAAACTATGCAAAACAAATACTTGATCAAGGTTCTAGACCATTGTATCTTAACAACTTATTTTGCGGCATTCTCAGGTAGAGCTGGAGTCGACGGGTAAGTATTAAGTATACAATATGGGAGGTTCATATAGACTTGTTTGTGGAAGAATGAAATATACATAGGCAGCAAATAGAAATAAAATAAAATATAGGCATAAAAGAAATAATGTATTGATTTTTTAGAGATAACATGCTACAGTCTTACAATGTGTCTCACTGGATTTTATGTTATTGAAACTTTCTAACTGCAGAAGCTGGGGAAGAACATAACTACACTTTACAAAAGAAAACAATCAAACAGGATTATATCTATACCACACTTTGAATCAGACCAAAGACCTTGTTCACTATCTCACCATCCTAAATTATCCATATCAGTAATCATTTTCTTTACACATATTCATGGGGAGATTAACTTGCACAAACCTCTCTGCCAGGAGGAGGGATTTAATGACAAACGAAGCATTGCCAAGTGAGTACAAGTCAATGAAATAGCTAGCCTGTGACAATAAATAAAAGCAGTTCCTGACTTCTTCCATCCTGTTCATTACTAAATGGCTGTATAAAAACATTTCTGAATATGTCTAAATAAAGACTTTTTTTGCCCCTAGATATGGGAGTGTGAAATATGGTATTTTAAGCCCTAATGTGTCAAGATTCAAAAGTTTTGAAGAAGGCAAGGTTCTCGTTTTAAACTAAAAATGATATAAAATTATTCAGTACCTTTCTCTGAATACTCCACTAATAAGTATGTTTATTACACCTACTGCTTATTATAATGTAATATTTTTGTCTTGTATATACAATGTTAAGGTTAAATAAACTCATTACTATACTTTGCTTTTTATAGATCTTACTGGTTTGATCTTATTTTTACAATAAGATTGTGAAAGCATTTCTGATCAAACATGATTATTTGCAACACCTAGTTAAATTGGCTCCTTCTGAAGTTTATTAATAAATGTATTATCAAAGTGTTGATATGATTTGATTTCCAATGTAAATACATTTTAAAGGGAATTTCTTACCTGTTGACAGTACTAAAGCCAAATTGATAAAGAAATCACATATTCTTTAAAATGCTTTGTGGGGATCTTTCTGACTCCATGTCACATAATCTTGTCATTCTTACTTTATTCAAGGATTATCATTACCCGGGTGACAGCTGACATCTCTTTAGCAAAGCGATCTCTACTGAATAATCCAAACAAAAGGGCTATAATGGAGAAAACCAGCAGTCGGTCATCATGCTTAGGTAAAATAACATTCTAGAATATGGAATACTGATCACTTGTGGCAAGTAGCATAATCAATAGATTTTCTTCTTATTCTCTTTCACTTGATAGTACTGTAAAATAGAGTAAAAATTATAAACATTAGTAGATAGATGGTGTAACTAAACTAATAAATTTAGTTACAAATGTACTTTTGTAATGTTGGTAGTAGCTTTAACTCCTGCAGAACTCTATATGATTATAGTGAGTGTACCACTAGTATTAGCTAATGTAGTCCTTTGTATATGATGGCTGTAAGTAAATAGTAGCATTAAACAATGTAGCCTTTTCCATATGATGGTAGTGAATGTAACAGTAACATTAAATAAAGTATTCCTTTGCATATGCTAGTAATGAGTGTATCAGTAGCATTAGGTAATATAGTCCTTTCTATATGGTGGCAAAGAGTGTAGCAGTAGGATTAGATAAGGTAGTCCTTTCTTTATGATGGTATTGAATGTAACAGTAAGATTAAATAATGTATTCCTTTGCATATGATAGTAATGAGTGTACTAATAGCATTAGATAATGTAGTTCTTTCTATACGATGGCAGTGAGTGTAGCAGTAGGATTAGATAAGGTAGTCCTTTCTTTATGATAGTAGTGAATGTAACAGTAACATTAAATAATGTATTCATTTGCATATGATAGTAATGAATGTACCAATAGCATTAGATAAGGTAGCCCTTTCTATATGATGGCAGTGAGTGTAGCAGTTGAATTAGATAAGGTAGTCCTTTCTTTATGATAGTAGTGAATGTAACAGTAACATTAAATCTTTCGACAAGGGTCGGTCGATTTGACCGAGTCATGTGACCTTCTGTACTCGTTTAAAGTTGACATCAATTTAATACTTATAACTCTCTATATATTGGGTATATCTTCACGAAATTTGGCAGTCTTTCAGTTAATATTACAAGTCTTTCACATACAAAAAGTCATATTTCTTAGTGAAGTATTTCTAATAAAATAACATAAAGTTTTGTCCATGAATATATTGAGTATTTGTTTTGAATAGTCCATGTGCAAAGTAATTTTCATGTTAAAATTAAAAATACTTTTCGCCATCTCAAATTTCCTTTGTATAATCCCTAAAACCTCCTAAATGCATTTCAAACGTTTTTTTTTCACTAAATCTTTATAATTTATCTGTTATTTTCTCTACCCTAATCTCAAAACTGGATCGGTCAAATCGACCGACCTCGTAACCACCAAAAAAAATCGAAATAAACCTAAATTAACATTCTTTTCTTTCTAGTACGACTTCAAATTGTAACCTGAAACTATATTTGTATATTCTAAGTATCTCGAAGTTTGTAACATTATACATCTATTTATAATTAAATTTTATTGTTTTATTGCCCTATGAACCGTGTCTAACTGCTATCTGCACCATTATAAGTTGTAAATCACTCGGGGACCGTGCATCTCATGTTATGCTATTGAATTACATTACCCATGAGCTGCTCGCGTGCATGCTTCGAGAACAATTTTAAATATATTATTATCATTATTACTTATTTTACCTATTTTAGGCTTAAATAACTTAAAAAGATCCATACTTTTAATTGTAGTTACTTTTATGTCAATAAATAAAGAATAAATATGAAAAACAAGAAATAAAGTACTTACCCAATCTTTTCTCTTGCCCTCTATTGTCGAGTAGAATTAAGCCTGATTTTTTTAGCGATTATGGTAAAGCAC